AAAAAAAAAACCTCCACCTTTTTGTTCCTTAAAGAGGAAAAAAATCACCTGGGGAGCCCGGGCTGCTCTCCACGGCACGGATTAATTAAAATTAACCCAGAGATAAAATCGCGGCCCTGGGGAAGGTGGAAGCGCCTCCGGGTTTATGGCCCCTGCGAGGAGCAGCGGGAGCGCCTCCCGAACGAGCCCGTTTTTCATCGCCGTGGCAGGGAAGGCTCCCGGGAGCGCCCGTGCCCCGAATTAATTCCCGTTCCGAGCTGGGGATGCCGCGGGGAGGGTAAGGACGGGCTCGGGGAGCTCCTTGGGCTGCTCCATCCCAAATCCTGCTCCTCCGGAGGCTCCCGCAGCCCTCGGGCAGCCCTGAAATCCCCCCCGTGAGGGTTTTTTTTGGGGTTAAACCCCCTCCGATCCTCCCGAGGGTCCCGCAGTCTGGTTTTTTTAATTCCCGGGCTCAGTTCTGGGGTCGTTTCCCGGCCCATCCCTCGCAGCTCTGGGGAAATTCGGGGAATGCGAAGCTCCGGAGGCAGCGCCCGAGAGCGGCTTTTCCCCCGCCGGCTCCACTGGGGCGGATTTGCGGGATTTTGGGATTTGCGGGATTTTGGGAAGCCTGGGCAGAGCCCAGCCTGACCCCGCTGTCTCCCCCCAGGTCTCCGCCTCGATGGAAGCAGCTCCAGCCCCCGAAAATCCCCGGAGAGAGAAGGGAACGACCCCAAACCCTCCGAGAGCCCCGGGGACCCCTCAAACAGCGGGATCGGGCCCGAGGGAGCGCTGCAGGAGCGGCTTTTCTGGAATGAGCTGYTCCCGGTGGAGAAACCCCTCGGGGTGTGATTTATTGGGGGATGGCAGGTAAGGAACGATCCCGGATTCCTCCTCGAGTCCTTCCCGGAGCCTCCCGGACAATTCCTGCGGGGTCAGGGCAGGGCTGGAGCCCCTCACGCCGGCCCCGGGGGTCTCCAGGATGGTCCCATGGATCGTGACCTCATGGATGAGCGGATTTGGGGGGATTTGGGGGGATTTTGGGGGATTTGGGGGCTGCTGACCCCCCTGAAGCATCCCCGTTTGATGCGCCCCAAAAACGCTTTGGGTGGAAGCGCCCAATTCGCTCTGAATTGATCGGAAATGGAGGCTGAACACGGACCCGGCGGGAATGGGGGATTTGGGGCCGTCTCGGGAGCTCTGAGGGGGTTTGGGCTGTTTTTGGGGACGATGGAGGCGTTGGGGTGCCCAAAACAATCCCAATAAAGCCCAGCAGGAATTTTCCAGGGATTCCTACAAAAAAGGTGTGATCGGATCCCCCCTGCACCTCCCTCAGCTGGGCCACATTTATCGGAACCAGGCAAAAGAAAATCTGAGTTTTTTGCCTGTTATGGCAGAAAAAGAGAGGGGAAAATCCCTCTCAGGGAGGCTGAAATGGGCCTGAGCCCCCAAATATTCCATGGGAGAGAAATTCGGTTGGGATCAGATTTGGGACACTGCAGAGAACCCACGGAGGAGCCACAGGAAGGTCCAGAGTGACTCTTTCAAACCCATTCCCGATTTTTGTGTGCGGCAGGACTGAATTCCCTGCTCCAGGGAGTGACTGCAGCCTTCAAAAAAAAAAACCTGGAAGTGCTTAAAAAAATCCAAAACTCCGTAAAAACGCGGCCGTGATGGCTCCGTTCGGCGTCTCGCAGGAGGGGTTTTGCAGCTGAAAAACCGAAATCGCCTTTAGAAGTTAAAATTCTCTTTCAGAAAATAATAAATTGTGCTTGAAAAATAAGGGGGAAAAGCCTGTTTGTGGAGTGAGACTCCGGTT